CACACGCGTGCACACAGACACACACGCAGGTGCACACACATGCAGACGCACACACATGCAGGCGTGCACACACGCGTGCACACAGACACACACGCAGGTGCACACACATGCAGACGCACACACACATGTGGGCGTGCACACACACGTGCACACAGACACACGGGCAGGTGCACACACCCCAACGGTCCCCGAGCTACGATTCTGTGCTTTGCATCACCTTCCTCAGCCGGCACTGTAAATGCCTTTGCCGCCTGAGCCAACAGCCCCCTGGGAACCAGCAGACAGTCCCCCCAGCCCTGAAATCTTCCGGAAGGTTCTCTGGGAATCTCTTGCCCTGGCTGGCCTTGCTGGCCGCCAGGCCAGTGGCTGAAGGGCAGCCCTGGCAGAGGGTCCTGGAGCCTGTGGGGCTGCCCTGAGCGGTCAGTAGGTCAGTGGGTCCCCACGGTAGGTGCCAAGCCTCGCAGACCACAGCGGCCCTGACCTGGGATGGAGCCGGAGGCCGGGTGGCCGCGGTCCTCTGGGTGGTGATCGAGGCATCGCTGTGCCTCAGGTTCTCTCCAAAAATGCGCAGGCTCCGTGGACTTCGTTCAGCGCATCTGGCCTCCCGCAAATCCTCGTCGCAAATTCCTCCTGCGAGTCCCTGTGATGCAGCGGCCACCCCTGAGGTCCCTGCGTCGTGAGCCTGCGTCTCCAGGGTCTCTCAGCAAGGAAGCAGACCCGTGGACTTCGTTCGGCGCATCTGGCCTCCCGCGAATCCCCGTCGCAAATTCCTCCTGCGAATCCCGTGATGCAGCGGCCACCCCTGAGGTCCCTGCGTCGTGAGCCTGCGTCTCCAGGGTCTCTCAGCAAGGACGCAGACCCGTGGACTTCGGTCCGGTGTCATGTTAAGACGAGGAGACAATAAAACAAACCACTCAAGATCACAAGGAAACAAACCATTCAAAATTGCATCTCTCAGCCACTTTGAGAGATGACTTCACATCTGCTAAGTTGCCGTTAAGATTCTAAAAAAGCCCAAACAAGCAAAACTGTTGCCTGTCCTGATGCCTTTCACTGCGTCCCCCCGTCTGGGTCCATCTGGCCTCCCCGTCTAGCCCCTCCACCTCTGCTGCTCCTTCAACACCCTGTGCAGGGGCCCTGATGGCCAGGCGCGGGTCTGGAGGTGCTGCGGCCCCGTGTGGGCAGCGAGCAGGGAGGGCAGGCCCAGGACCACATCCAGAGGGGCTGCAGTTGTGAGACCACTGCACCTGGACGGGGCTCCGGGTTGGGAAGCAGGGCCTCGGCTGCAGGATGTGTGCAAAGGGGAATGTGGGCCCCCTGTTCAGAAGCAGGAGGGAAGCTCCCACCTCCCCCCAGGCCGCCCTCCAGACTGTGTGTGTGTGTGTGTGTGTGTGTGTGTGTGTGTTTTAACAGGTTTATTGAGATATAATTCATATACCATTACAACTCAGCCACTTCAGACGTATAATTCAATGGTCTTTGGTGTATTACATTATTTTAAAAATTATGGTATCATATTTAAACATAAAATTTACCGTCTTGACCATCTTTAAGTGTAAGCTTGTGGCATTAAGTACATTCACAATGTTGTGCAGCTGTAATCAGGATTTCTTTCATCCTCCCAAACTGAACGCTGTCCCCTGCCCCTCCCCCAGCCCCTGGCCCCGACGGTCCTACTCTCTGTCTCTATGAATCTGACCATCTAGGGGCCTCATCCCTAGAGGGAATCACACAGGATTCGTCCTCTTGTGACTGGGTTGTCTCACTGGGCACAATGTCCTCAGGGCTCATCACATTGTAGCTGGTGTCAGGATTTCCTTCCGTTTAAGCTTGAATCATAGTCTGCCGTGTGGACAGACCACAGTTTGTCCATCACCTGTCCATGGACGCGGAGGCTGCTCACGATTTACCTGCTGTGGTCAATGCTGCTGGGGGCACCAATATCTCTTCAAGACCCTGCCTTCCATCCTTTTGGGTGCAGACCCAGGAGTGGAACTGGGCCATTCTCTTTACTTCTTATTTGCTAGTTGATGTCATGCTCCCCAGGTGTGGGGACACTCGCAGATCTGTGGTCCCCAGGGCTTCCTCAGTGAGACTGGGAAGGGGGGGGCTCCCATGCTCCCCCAAAGGGCCAGGGCCTCCCAGGGGCCCAGGCAGCGTGGATGTCACTCCTTTGACTCCACGAGTTCTGAGGGGAAGTAGCCGTTCTTCTGGTCACCTGGCAGTTCCACGCACAGCTCAGGGCAATGGAAACACCGCGTCTACTTTCCCTCCTGCAGAGAGCGCGGTGGGACCCTGGGGGAACCCCGCACCCCCGTGTTGCTGGGCGGCCTCGGCAGACTGGTCAGAACACAAGCAGAACAAAACCCTTCCTGCTTGTTGGGGGCAGTGTCCACCGCCCCTGCTCGGAACTTAGAAATCTTCCCCAAACAGAGAACAGTCTGAGGGTCAAGGGAGGAACAATGAAAACTCTGCAGAGGACATGGGGGATCTGTTTCAGAAGATGCTGTAAGAAGGGACTCGGGCTGGAGCCTGTGGAGCTGTCGCCCATCTTCTCGTTGGGTCTGAATCCTCGCCTAGGTGTCCTGCTGAGATCAACAGTCGGGGACGGAAAACCAAGAAAGCAGAGCCTGGTTTCCCTGGCCGGAACCTCGAAGGGCCCTGTGAGGTGACTGATCGCTTGCGGGGCTTAGCAGTGCATTTGTTTTTTTACTGAGGCCTCAAAGTCCTGAGAGACACACCTGTCTGCAGGCACATGGCCCAGGCTGAGGAGGAGAGAGGACGACTGCCGGTGGGGACCCCTCCCCTTGTGGTCACAGGATAGAGCGTCAGGAATCCCTCTCCTGAAGCAGGTCTGGTAGAACTTTCCTGATAGATAGATAGATAGATAAATGATAGATGACAGAGAGATGGTGGAAAGATGGATAGATAATAGATGATAGTCGATAGATAGATAACAGCTGGATAGATAATAGATGATAGTCGATAGATAGGTAGATGATAGATAGAAACCAGGTTAGCGGTTTGGCTAGATGATTAATTTAAATAATGCAAACTTCCAAGTTCTCAACCTATCATGAGGCTCAGAGTTTGCTCTATGCCCTGGAAACAGATGGCATTTTAAAGCCCTCGACTGTGCATAAGTTCCCAGAAAGTGGGGTGTGGCTGGGGCCGCCTGCAAAGTCAGGTGCTGGGTCCGAGCCGCTGCCCTGGGACCTGAGCTGCTGGCTGTGAGGAGGGTCTACCTCCTTGCTCCCTTGCCCCTGAGGGTGCAACCCCCTCTTGGGTGGAAGGGTCGTTGCTTCTCGCCTCTCTGGCCACCAGGGTGGATGGTTGAGACCCGTTTGCACACTTCTAGGAGCTTGGAGAAGAGGGTAAGGCTGTTAATATGGTTCCTTCAGGGGAGCTGGGCTCGGAGGGGAAGGGAAGCTGTTCATTTTACTCCATGCATGTTGGCATATTGCACATTCTATTTGTAATTTTGTGATATAAAAAGAAATAACAAGGAATTACTTCCCACACCTCTTCACCCAAATTGCTTCCCCTGACGGCCCTAGAGGGCGAACTTGGCCTCTGTCCTGTCATTGTGTCCGTAAAGCCCCTTGAATGACCCTCCTCACACTTGCAGCGAGATAATCAGATGCTGTTCGTGGTCTGAGACTGACTGGTGTGGCCCTTCTTCAGGCCTCTCCCTGAAGCCATCCCATCTGTCCTTAATGAGACAGAAACACATCAGACTCCACATTCACCCCACCTGAGATGACAAGGATTTAGACCTGGCTTAGGTCAAACCACATCCTCTACAGAAACAATCCCATAGACAGAAAAATGCAAGCAAGTCTTCCTGGAGGACA